AACTGACAGGTATTTATTTTGTACCTCCTGTGTTTCCAGACATGTGCTAAGAATGGAGTCAAACCACGGTACTGAGGGAGAGACCAGGGAATCTATTTCTGAGATACTCTGGAATCCTTGGGATAAGCGTAGAGTACCACGTGGGGTAGTGAGAGTTGGGGAGTAAGTGTGTAGGGGGGATATCCCCTTGCTGCTTGCAGCAGAGAGTGGCATCTTTGCAGGCAGTTATACTACCGAGAATAGTCTCTTTCCCAGTTCAGAAGGGTGTGGGGGTAGAAGGGTCAAAGTCCAGTTTTCTACTTTCTAGCCTGGTAACTGGAGGTTAGAGTATCAGGCTGGTCACTGGGGAGTCACAGGATCCAGGTGCCTTTTTTCCTCTGCAGGTTTTTCATTCAAATTAGGTTTCCTGGCCCTGATTACTGGGATGGGTAAGGATGATCCTGAGTTCCTGAGCAAAGGGAAGAAAGGGTTAGGCCTGAGGAAATCTGAGCCTTGAGTGTGGTAAAGGGCACAATGCTGCTGAAGGCAGTGGTTGGAGTCTGGAAGTGAGGAACCTGGGCCAGGACTGTTCACCATCAAGCCTTGAAGGTAAGCGTCTCCTTGTTTGTGTCACTATGGCCATGAGCTGCAGAAGAGAGTACCTGGGCTCTCTCGAGCTTAGGAGCAAAGCTGGCTTCTGAGCTGAATGTGGTGGAGTAGAGAGGGTGCCTCGCAAGCCAGAACTCTGGCTCTCTGTTCCCAGAGCTGACCAGTTCTGCCCATGCACCCTTCCTGCCCCGACCCTTCCTCCAAATCGGGTGCATTGAGAGCTGTCTCGGAGGAGGTCTGGACAGTGAGTCTGGGCCAGGCAGGAGGTTTGAGAATGAACTTGGCCACCTGGCACTTCCTCCCACAAGCGTTGAGAGCTGTCCTAAGACAGAGTACAAGGCCTTGTAAGGGTTGGAGGGCTTAGCTTGGGGCAAGGCATCACAGGGATTTGGATGCTAGCTTTTTTCTGGGTTCTGAATATAGGAATACTGCCTTTAGGTAATAAATAGGAGATGGAGAATCTGTTCTTGCCTGTGCCAGATCTTGCATTGATGGGATGAGACATCCCTGGCTAGAACAGCCAAAGGGCAGGGTGGGCGAGGGAGGTCATGCTTCATTCCTGGTTACGAGCGCATAACCATACCTGAAAAGGAAACATCTAGTCAGCCAGGGTATAGGCATGCTCCTGAAAACGTGCCATTCGATTTGGAACCCAGATTTGTCTATGCTGACTCACAGCTTTTTCTTTATTAACAATCCGTCAAACATACTAAAACCATTTAAAAAGCAGTGCCTTGCTTACTATCTGGCGCATGATAGTCACTCAACCTTGATGAATGAACAGACGTCATTGCCCTTGACCAAACTGGACATGACGGGTGCCCCATGAGTCTTGGAAGCCAGGGGTCTGTGGTAGTGTCTCCTACTTGCTGACAGACACCTTTGAAGGTGGAAACCTCTCCAGGAGTGGCCCTCTGATTAACTTGTGCCTTGAGTCAGGATTGGGCCTGCTCCCCTGCCTTTCCCAGGACCATTTCACTTTTCTCTGTCCTTCAGGTTCCTCCTAACTTGATCCAAGGAGAAAGCTCCTTCCTCCATGGTCCCTTCCGGGTCCAAGAGGGCTTTGCTGCCCTCTGTGGGTGACGTTGTCTTAGTTTTGCCCTTTTCTGCTACCATCCTCTCTCACCCCTTCCCATTCAGATTACCTACCAAACAAAGCCTCAGAGCTGGACAAGACAGTAGCCGTCCACCTCAGTGGCACCATTCCAGTCAGCCGATGCCTCAGTGCAGTGTGCGTGGCCACCCTTTGCTCAGAAACTTTCAGTGGGTTCCCACTGCCATTCAAGGCTCTCCACAACCAGCTCTCCCTTCTCTCTCCAATTACCTCTGTCTGGTCTTCTGGCTAAATCCCTTACTTTAGCCAAACTGGTCGGTTCATTTTCCCCAAATATCTGGCCCTCTGCCTTTATACCCTTTCTCCCTTGTTTAGAAACACTGCTTCCCTTTAAGGTATGCAAAGCTGCCATGGCCTCTAGTCACAAGGACGTTTTTCTCCTGGCCTGGCTCCTTCAGCTCCGCTAGCACAACTCCCTCAACACCTCCCACACATCGCCTTGGATTGCTGTGTCTCATGTTCATTCATGCAGTATTTTAATTTCAGAATTTATCTTTGTAACCAAAATAATTTTTATTGCAAAAGATCCAGACAATACCGAAGTGTTCAGAGCAGCATGTAGGACTTGTTCCCCTCTGCTCACTCTGTCCGCAAAGGTTACCACCCTCGGCTATTTGGTGTGCATCCTCTAGTTCCTTTTCTAAATATATGTGTCTATAGACACATTTGGGGAGGGGTTAAAATATAAAGGGGCTCATCCCATCTATTATTCTACCTTTTTATTTTTAAACTTTAAGGTATATATGTTTGTCTTAGAGGTTTTCTATATTAGTATAGTTAGGTTTTCCTTTTTAATGGTTTCTCAGTACTGCATAGTATATAATATTTACTCAGAATAAAACATATCTGTCTGGAATCTGTTATATGGAGGGTATTGTGCAGCTAGCACCTAAGGGACTCCAGATATCTTGTCCTCGCCATCAGTGAGCTCGCTCTTTAGAGGAGAGGGGGACGGAGGAGCGGGAATTCACAAATAACCACAACACAAGGGAAAATACATTAAAGTCCCCAAGTGTGCCTGAAGTTCCGAAATAAGAGAAGTCACTTCTAGCTAAGGGGATCAGGACTTAACAGCGGAGGTGATCTTCAAGCTTGGCCTGGAAGGAGCTTGACAGGTGAAGGAAGAGCATGAACTGCACACAGAGATGAAAACACACAACGCAGGTTCATCTGATGCCATGAGCATGAAGGGGATTTGATTCAATTTATAAACATTTATCAAGCATCAAATGTGTCAGACATCGTACTAGGCAATGAGAATATAGAGATGAGAAATACGAGGTTCCTGTCTTTAAAAGGCTTTCATTTTAATGGAATCAAAGCCAGGTTTGGAAAGGCAGGTTAAGACCAGATGATGACAGCTTTCAATTGGCATATCAGGTAGTCTGAATTTAATTCACTGGACAGTGTGGAGCCATGCAGGCTTTGTAGTGGGTAGGTAGGTAACGTGACTGAAGCTGAACAGATGGCAACAGTGAACAGAATGGGCTAGAGCAGGGAGAGGCTGAGGCCGAGGGGCTTATTTTGTTGTTTTTTGTTTTAACAAGATAGAAGTTCATTTCTTTTTAATTTTTGGCCACACCGCGCGGCCTGTGGGATCTTAGTTCCCCAACCAGGGGTCGAACCCATGCCCCCTGCAGTGGAAGCACGGAGTCTTAACCACTAGACTGCCAGGGAAGTCCCTAGAAGTTCATTTCTGCCTCAGTTAAAAGGTGTCTGGTGGTGGGCAATCAGGACTGGTGTGGTGGCTCTACAGTTACCAGTCTCTGATGACTTCTTTTTGTTCACTATCCTACTTACATCCTCATGGTCGCCTCATGATCTAATATGGCTGCTAGAGTGTAATTCATCTCATCTGTATTCCAGGCAGCGGAAAGAAGGAAGGGAAGGAGACTGGGGGGGAGGAGGTGGGGCACTGCGACACACTGCTTAGTTAAATTAACTTCCTTTAAGCAGCCTCCCTGGAAGTCCAGGACAATATTTCAAACACTTTGGTTTATGTCTTATAGGCCAGAACTTAGTCACGTGGCCCTATACAACTTTAAGGGAGACATGGAAATATAGTTCTGTTTGTGTTTGATTTTTTTTTTCCTTTTTAAAGAATTTGAGGAATAATTTGCATAAAGTGCAATGCACAGATCTTATACAGTTTGATAAGTTTTGACAGGCATACACCCATGTAACCCACATCCCTATCAAGATATGGAGCATTCCATCACCCCCAGAAATTTCCTCCTGCTGAGGGGGCTTTTTAAAAAAAAGAAAAGAAAAAACCCAAAAGAGAAATAATGAAGGTTTAATTAGGGTGGTAGCTGTGGGAATGGAAAGAAAGAGCTGGAGAGGCTGTGGAGGGAAAATCCAAAGCAGACTGGTTGGATGTGGGGGTGAGAGGAGGATCAAAGAGAGTGCTGACAGCAGAACCAGGAACAGAAACAGGAGGTTGGGAGTGAAGTCTAGATGGTTGCAGGTGGGATGGAAGGAGAAAGAGGAATGAGTACGGTATTGTGTGTGTTGATTTGCGGTGCTGGTCAAGCATCCAGGTGGAGATCCCCAGTACACAGTGGCGCCTAGAGCTTAGGAGGGCAGTCAGAGCTCAATGGCATCGTGGACCAGAGAGATGCTTAAGAGGACAAGACCTAAGAAGTGATCCAAAATATGGTGACTGTGAGCTCACTGATGACTTTTGAGGGAGCAGAATCCAGATACCCAAGGCCTGAGTGGGCAGTGAGGGCTTAAATCATGCACAAGGGGATTGGTAGGGTCACCCGAAATAACTTAAAAAGTCTTTTAAAAACTGAAGTCCTGGGACTTCCCTGGTGGCGCAGTGGTTAAGAATCCACCTGTCAGGGCGCTTCCCTGTTGGCGCAGTGGTTGAGAGTCCGCCGATGCAGGGGACGCGGGTTCGTGCCCCGGTCCGGGAGGATCCCACATGCCGCGGAGCGGCTGGGCCCGTGGGCCGTGGCCGCTGGGCCTGCGCGTCCGGAGCCTGTGTTCCGCAACAGGAAAGGCCACAGCAGTGAGAGGCCCGCGTACCGCAAAAAAAAAGAAAAAAAAAAACACCTGTCAGTGCAGGGGACACGGGTTTGAGCCCTGGTCCGAGAAGATCCCGCATGCTGCGGAGCAACTAAGCCCATGCGCTACAACTACTGAGCCTGTGCTCTACAGCCTGCAAGCCACAACTACTGAGCCCATGTGCCACAACTACTGAAGCCTACAAGAGAAGCCACCTCAACGAAGAGCAGCCCCTGCTGGCTGCAACTCGAGAAAGTCCGCGCGCAGCAACGAAGACCCAATGCAGCCAAAATAAATAAAAAGAATTTCTAAAAACAAACAAAAAACCCGAAGTCCTTGCACAAACATAAAATGGGTGTATGTAGCTGGTCTTTTGACAATTTTGTTGATGAAAGGAGAAAGGAAATGGTAATGTCAGAGGGAAAGATCAGGGATTCATCCCACCCTTACAGTGAAATAACCTGTGCTCTTTTCAGTTACCTTAAGGACAGGGTGATGGGACAACACCCTCCCTCCTTTTGGGTATATGACCTCCAGAAAATCAAGCTGAAGGGCTGGATATGGGAGAGGGATACGACCTTCGGCTGCTGCTGGGTTGCGGTGGGCCAGCCAGACACTGCCAGGATAGGTGTGAGGACACATATATCTTTAAGAGGAAAGACCAGAGCGCAAACTGGCTGGACTCAGGTAGTCCTGGGTTTGAATCCTGTCTCTGTCACCACCTAGCTAGATGACCTTGAGCAACTTACTTAACCTGAACACCCAGTTCGTCATCTGTAAAATGGAAACAACCATGCCTACCTTTCAAGGTGGTTTTGAGGATTACAGACAAGTGTCTGCAACACAATAGGTAGTCGTAAATGGGTGCCATTATGTGGCCCAGCCCCTCGCGATGGGACCGAACGGCTAACGGACAGGTCAGAATCTCAGGGCAGGGAGAGCTCCCGCGGCCTCCTCCCTCCAGGAGGTGGGGACAAGGTGGAGGAAGGGCTGCGGGAGGAGGAGCTGGCGCGCGTCGCGACCCGCCCCGTCCCGTCCAGTCTGGCCTGGGCGCTGAAGGAACTGCGGTCCTAGCCGCTGCCACCCAACAGCCTGTCCTGGGTGTCCCGTGCCCTGCGCCCATCCAGTCATGACCCTGCGCCCCTCACTTCTCCCGCTCCGTGTGCTGCTGCTGCTGCCGCTGCTGCTCAGTGGGGCGGTGTGCCGGGCTGAGGCTGGGTTCGAAACCGAAAGTCCCGTCCGGATCCTCCAAGTAGAGACCCTGGTGAGGAGGAGATAGTCCCGGGCGGGCTCTTTGGAGGTCGGGCCTTGTGAGGAGAATGCCGGGGTCTCAAGGAACCTGGGAGCGGGGAGGAGAGGCAGTGCGGGCACTGAATTGGGGGTGCTGAGTCTAAGGGCAAGAACGGGATCTTTGGAGGAGCCTCCGTGACTCCTGTAGTGCGATCATAGGTGGAGCCCCCGGAACCGTGTGCTGAGCCTGCTGCCTTTGGAGACACGCTTCACATACACTACTCGGTGAGGGGCCTGGGGGGCCGGGGCGGGGCCTGGGGGGGCGGCGCCCTGCAGCAACACGTCAGCTTTAGCTTGGACACGTGGCAAGCGGTTCGCGAGTCACTCCGGCTCTGGGGGTCCTCCAGCACGTGGCCGGGGGAGGGGCGCTCCTCTTCCCTACCCTTTTTACCTCCCTGCTTTTCCGCCAGTTCCTCCCGGGCCCTGAGAAGTGAAGGGTGGAGGGATCTCCGAGAAGCGCCAGCCCTTTCTGCCCCGAGGGGAATGCTAGGCAGCAGTCACTAGCGGGTTGCCGACCGAGGCCCAGGTGTGTGCGCGCCCTGCTGGGAGGGAGAGGTACTAGGTGTGTGCTCTAGAAGCTCTTCCCCCCCACCCCCCCACCCAGGGCAGCTTGGTAGATGGACGCATCTTTGACACTTCTCTGACCAGAGATCCTCTGGTTATAGAACTTGGCCAAAAGCAGGTGATACCAGGTATGTGAGCCGTACCTCCCATTCCACTTCTTCCCAACCTAAGCCCTTGCTTAGCTTCTTCAACTCCTAAGCTACAGTGGAAATGTCCCCTGGAATAAGACCCCAGGGCTCTACCAGCCACCTCCTGAGGTTCAAACTCCGCTTCTAGTACTCCTCTTGCCCCACACCACATTGGAAGCCAGAGATTCCAGCAGTGGGGAGCTCAACTGAGGGTCCATGGGGAGCCTTTGAGCCTCCTCTCCTGGGATTTGGGGAATGTAGGTAGTTTCCTATTCAGTTGTGTCTTCTTCCTCAAGGTCTGGAGCAGAGCCTTCTAGACATGTGTGTGGGGTGAGTATCTGGGCAGGTGGGCTTGGGTACCCCCTCTGCATGGCTCTGCTATCCCTGCTCCTAGAGGAGGCAGGAGAATGGGCTTTGGCTTCACACTGGGCAGGTCAAGGTCACTGGGCACTGAGGCTTTGGATGAAGCCTCAGGCTTCCTGGCTGTGGATTTTGTTGGTGGAGTTGAGACATGTGGGGGGATGGACGCCTTGGCCGGTCAACCTGTTTGGTGCTCAGGTGGGAAAGTTCACGTTTTGAGTGTGAATATCCAGAGGGTTTTGTTGGTGGGGCTTCAGGTGGACCGAGGTGGCTGGCCCACCTGTTCCCACCTCTGGCTATGACTCACATTCCTTCCCTCAGAGAGAAGCGAAGGGTAATCGTTCCTTCTCACTTGGCCTATGGAAAACGGGGATTTCCGCCATCTATCCCAGGTAATCTGACTAGGCCTCTCTCTGTGGCTATCAAAATACCCAGTCCCGGGGACTTCCCTGGCAGTCCAGTGGTTAAGACCCTATGCTTCCAATGCACGGGGCGCAGGTTGGATCCATGATTTGGGAACTAAGATCCCACATGCTGCACTGTGCAGCAAAAACAAACAAAAACACCCAGTCTTTAAGAGCCACATACAAGGAGCTATGCACTTTGTCTGGAGCTTGAGAAGGTCTAAACCCAGTTTCCTGAAAGGTACAGGAGTGGCTGAGGCTTCCTTCTGCAGGGCCACCTTCTTCCTCCTCAGATCACCAGCAGGGACTAGGAATATATAACCTGTTAAAGCCACTGGCTTGTCCTCTGGCAGGCAGCAACCTTTTAGGGAGGAGACACCTGCTTGAGCCACACGAGTCTGCTGCCTGTGCCACCTCTCCGAGAACTCTGGACTTCTTTCCTGCCCTTTTCCTACAACTCCAAACTGTTGGTTGTGCAGTTGGCATGGCTTCTCACCACATCTGCACCGTTCCTTTCAGCCTCCACCAGGATGATCACAGTCAAGTAATTCAAAACAAAATAAAACAAAAAACAACTTTTAAAATCCAAGCCTGGGACTTCCCTGGTGGTGCAGTGGTTAAGAATCTTCCCTCCAATGCAGGGGACTCGGGTTTGATCCCTGATCAGGGAACTAGATCCCACATACATGCTGCAACTAAGACCTGGTGCAACCAAGATAAATTAAATAAATAAAAAATTAAAAATAAGTTAAAAAAAAAAAAAAAGCCAAGCCCACCCCCTAACTTTAAAAGCCCTCACAGGTCACTGCTGATACCTATTTTTTTTTTTTTTTTTGATACCTATTTTTGAAGGCCTGAGACTAGACAGATTTCCCAAGATGCATATCTCTTGCTTTTGGTTATAAGAAATGTTCTACTAGCGAAAATGACTTGTACTTCAGAGTATTGGGATAAAAGTTCTCATCCGAGTTCCAGCTTAGACAGAGACCCATAGAGAGGGTCAGGGGACTAAAGAGAAATTCTTTTACCCAAAGTTCTGTTACCTCCTCATTTCCAGTGCTGCCTGTTTGCATTTCTCCCCCAACTCATTCCTGTCCATTCCTCCACTCCTTTTTTTTTTTTTTTTTGCGGTACGCGGGCCTCTCACTGTTGTGGCCTCTCCCGTTGCGGAGCACAGGCTCCGGATGCGCAGGCTCAGCGGCCATGGCTCACGGGCCTAGCCGCTCCGCTAGGCATGTGGGATCTTCCCGGACCGGGGCACGAACCCGTGTCCCCTGCATCGGCAGGTGGACTCTCAACCACTGCGCCACCAGGAAAGCCCCACTCCTTACATCTTAAACCACATCCTTCTTCCTCTCTAGCCTTTATGGTGAAACACCTATTTTTTTTTTTAACAATCACATTGAGGTGTGCTCATTGGTTGGCGAAATTTTAAAAAGTCTAGTTTAAATCCAATTAATTTCAGCCCCGCAAAGATTCTCTCCATGTGGCTGTTTAGAAATGGAATACAGTTAGTACAGAGGTCTCTAACTTACAGATGGACTTCACAAGTACTTTTCACAGCAAGTTTTTCTGTCCTGGCAAAGACCTGTCAGTGAATACAAGCCACACTTGTATATTTGAGGTAAACGTGACTATAACTAGATAGCTCATAACCCTCCTCTGCTTCTGCCTTTGTAAGAGAACTCGGCCCCACATTTAAATCTCGCCAGCTTTACAGTTGGTGCTGTGGTTGTGGTCTGCCCTCCCCGCTTTCATTCAGATTTGAGTTCTGGGTAACATGCACAGGGATTCTAACCTTCACCTCCTCTCTGCCTCCAGCGGATGCAGAGCTGCATTTTGACGTGGAGCTCATTGCACTGATCCGAGCCAACTACTGGCAAAAGCTGGTGAAGGGCATTTTGCCTCTGGTAGGCATGGCCATGGTGCCAACCCTCCTGGGCCTCATTGGGTATCACCTATACAAAAAGGCCAGCAGACCTAAAGTCTCCAAAAAGAAGCTCAAGGAAGAGAAAAGAAACAAGAGCAAAAAGAAATAAAAAATAAGTTTTTAAAATCTTTGCATTTTTCACCCGATACTTTCTGCTGCTACCTTTGTAAGTGGGAATAAGGTAAAGGGCTGGGGAGAAAGGGCATTCTTCGTTGGGTCTTGCCTGGCATGGGGGTGGTTGGAGGCTTTGGATCTCTTCTCCTGGCCCTCTTCCTGTCCTGACTTACCCCAAGGACCATGGGATCTCTGGGTCCCGAAGGTATGTGTTTTGGCTCCCATGGCGTCCTGACTGAGGAGCAATCCATCGCTGAGAAGTAAGCCTCTGGGTAGTTGCCTGGCTACTCTCTTTACCCCCTAGGGCCGCTGCATTCCTAGTGTCCTCCAAGTAGACTGTTCTATCCAACATGGCAAAGATACAAGGAGCTCATAAACTCCATGGAGATTTTTAATAGCAAAGTCCTCAGGTCTCTCAAAACATTCTCTGGGGGTTGAAAAGAGATTTTCTCCTTGTATCACAGGATGTGGGCGATCACATGGGCTGCTTCAATGATGTTGTAAGTGGCTGGAGGTTTTTGGCCACCTGGCCGGGCTGTAGGCATGGACGGGGGCTGGGGTAAGTTGCTGCTTTGATTGACGATGAAGCGTGGGCTGAGCTGGCTCAGCACTTCATCACTCACTGAGATGCCATCCAAGTACTGCTTGAGCATCTCCCGCAGCTTCTCATTGATTTCCAACAACTGGGCACGTCTGTGTTGAAGGCTCAGTTGCTCCAGTTTCACTTTGTTGTACCTTTTCCAGAAATTCTCCATCCCTATGTAGTCCATTATCACCTGGGAATTGAATTAAAGGGAGAAGGGGTGTGGTAGCACCCATTAGCAAGTGTAGCCCCAGCCTTGGGCGGTGGCCTCCGGGCCGTAGGAAGCTTACCTTTCCAAGCTCCTCAGTAAACTCCTCTGGGTCAATCTTCTCTATGTTCTCCTGCTCCTCGGGAGTCAATACCGACGAATAAAAAGGCAGCACTTTTTCTTCCTCTGTTTCAAATTTCCTACATATTTCAGCAAGTTTAAGGACCTTTTCACCCTATTGGAAGCAAGAAGAGACCTTTCATTAGGAAAGGGGGTGGGGAGGGGAAATAGTGGATTTGGTTCCCCTGCTTCAAACCAGGGGAGCTACTTATCCAAATGGGAAACAAAAATAATAAATACATCCAACAGAGAGAGCTATGTGCCAAGCACTATTGCAAGTATTTTATACTCTTCTAAAATTCATTCATCATGAAGTAATTTCACTTAAAATGTGAGAGGAGAGGGAACATGGAATAGAATAGGCATTCCAAGTGTGCACTCAGGCAGGAAGCAGGGGGAAGCCCTCTATGTCTCCCCAGCCCCTTCCGCTTCGCAGGGAGCCGTCTTCCTTGGTTCTGTTCTGGCTGCCTTCTCCCCTTTGTTACCTTGTCGACAATCTTCCTCAGGGCCTTGAGGGTGGCATTACTTTCCAGGGTGAGTTTGACTAAGTTCTCCTGTGATATTCCCCGGGCCTGAGTCCTTTGGGCCTTAAGTTTTCGCAGTTGTACAAGGACCAACTCCTTGTCCTCACGAATGTCCTGGTTCTGTTCTTCACTCTCGCGGCCGTGCACCATGATCTTGCCTTTTAAAATAATTATGGAATCCTAGAGGAACAGGGTAGGTTAGAGGAAACAGTTGACTAGGTGAGGGTCTTCAGGGAGCAGGTAAAAGGACTGTCTGGGGACTGATACCAGAGCATACCATCTTTCCCCAACCAGTGATGAGGCCCAGTAGAAACTGGGGAAAGGAGAACAGGGGATAATGGAACAGTTAAAGCAGTGAGTCTTTCGGGTGGGCTGCACTAACCTGTAGTCTCTGTATTTTTTTCATCTGTGCTTCAATCTCTTTGCAGCTCTTCTCGTCCTTTGCCTTTAGAGTCTCGAAGGCGATCTTTCGATCCTCTGTGGCATCAGTGTAATTCTTGAGTGCATCCTGGAACCTTCTCCACAGATCTTCTACTGTATGCTCCAGTTGCAGTCTTAGAAAGTGCTTCTCTTCTAAATTCTGGGAAGTGGCCCCAAAATAGCCAGTGCTTGGAATTACCCTATTAGCACCCTTTCACTTCCACCAGCAACCTCCCCCTCTTGAACTGTTTGTAGCACAGCGTGGTGCAGAGGTTGCCAGTGAAAATGCCTACAAACCAGGCAGATGATATAAATAAGCGCTGTGGGCTAGCTGGGGCCTGTGGCGAACCAGAGAGGAAATGCTCCATTGGTCTGTGTTTGGGGGGGGTGGGAGCACAGCTGCTCAGCTTCACATGAATGTCTCCATTTGGAATGTGGCCCAGTGTTACCAGATCTTTACATTTTTCAAGGGAAGCTGAAAATTTGGATTTTTATGTGAAATCTTCCAATTTTTAAATGTAGAGAGCTTATAAAAATTTTTAATGAAACGTTATGAGGCAAAATAAAAACAAAGCGGGGGCTTCCCTGGTGGCGCAGTGGTTAAGACTCCACCTGCCAATGCAGGGGACACGGGTTCGAGCCCTGGTCCGGGAGGATCCCGCATGCCGCGGAGCAACTACGCCCGTGCGCCACAACTACTGAGCCTGTGCTCTAGAGCCCGCGAGCCACAACTACTGAGCCTGCGTGCCACAACTACTGAAGCCCCCATGCCTAGAGCCCATGCTCTGCAACAAGAGAAGGCAACGTGATGAGAAGCCCAGCACCACAACGAAGAGTAGTCCCCACTCACCGCAACTAGAGAAAGCCTGCGCACAGAAACGAAGACCCAACGCAGCCAAAAAGAAGCAAAGGGCCCCACCCCCCAAATCCAGGTCTGCAGGCTGGCTAAGTCTGCAGCCTCCAGGGTGGTGGAAGCTCTTGGGGCCAAGGGACAGGAGAACTGGACTCTCCCCCTGGCTCTACCACAGACCAGCAGCATGACTTTGGCAGGTCATTTCACTTCTTTGGGCCTTAATTTCTTCATCTACAAATCACAGAGGAGAAGCCAGACGATCTCCTTGGTGTGCGTTAGCTCTAAAATGCACTTCCTTGACATTTCAGAATGGTTCCCCCTCCCCACCAATTTTCACAAAATTACAAAAAGCAGTAGGGGTACCTACAGCGGCAACAGGCATTTTATTGGCCATGTTGGTTAAAGGGATCTCTTCTAGCTCTACTAGCCTTGAGCGATTTTCTCTCACTTTCTCCCAGTTCCTGCCCTTCTGCTCTCCCTCTGTACCTTGTTTTTGAGATCTTCCCACATGCTCTGGAACTCCAGCTTGCTTTCGTACTCAGAATCTAGGCAGTTCTGCTCCATGGCCACGAAGACATCTTGTAGGTAGTGAATCTCTTTTTCATGTTGGTCAATAATTGTCTTCCTGTAGGAGATAAGATACCGTCTCTGCTCTGAGGCATAAAGCATAGGGATCAATAATGACAATGCAAAGCAGTATGTAATAAAACTATATGAACGGTACAAACTCTTAGGTACTGAAGAAGGACAGAGGGAAGGCGGGTTCTATTCTTTTCAGGGCCAGAAAGAATGAATAAGATTATTTTGATTTTTGAATAGGTAATACATTCATATGATACAAAAATCAAAAAGTACAAAAGGTTGCAGTGAAAAGTCTCCTTCCCATCCCTGTCCCCCAGAGAGGTAGATGCGTAGGATTTTGATAGTTGAAAGTGGGTGGCTGCTTACAGCCAGCATCTTGACATAGGCTCTAGCTAGTCCCCTGGGCTCAACCCCCCCATATCTCCTCTTAGGTCCCCATACCTTTCTGTCTCAAATTCCTTGGTTAGGGCCTCCAGCTCCACGTTGTAACTTTCCTCTAGGAGGCTGAGCCGGCGTCTCTGCAGGGCCAAGAGCTGGTCAATGTTGTGCAAGTGGCTGCGCAGCGCGTGGGCGTACTGCTCCTCAGCTTCTGACAGGTCCTTCACTAACGACTGGGTAGGAAACACAGAGTTACCATTTTGGCTGAATGGCATCTCTGTGAGAAAATAAAAATGTATTCGGCTAGCTAGTTCCTATTTTCCCTAGTCTCTAAAGCCAATTCTTTGGCTCTGGGAGCTCTGGCTCTGCCCCTTGTGAATGTGAGAAGCCAGTGCTGGTGAAGGGGCCATGTGGAAGCATTCATTCCAGTCAACGGCCCAGCTGAGCTCCCAGCGGATAGTCAGAATCAACTGTCAGTCATCTTACACATCCAGCTCAGTCAAGCCTTCAGATGACTGCAGCCCCACATGACATCTGACTGAAAACCGTACGAGAGATGTCAGGCAGGAACCTCCCTGGTAAGCTAAGTCAACCTGCAGAACCACGAGACAGAGTGAAGTAAATTGTTGTCGTAAGTTGCTAATTTAGGGTGGTTTGTGATGTAGCAATAAAAAATGAGAACATGTCCACTGGAAAAAAAAGGGACCGTGTGAGCATCAATATGGATAAGAACTGCAATGGATCAAAACATATCAAATATGTTTGATTATGAGTTTATCAGGATACTTTTTAAAAAAATCAGTTACCATTAGAGGATGCCAGACAACCGATTCTTTTTTTTTTTTAAACTGGTTTGTAAAGGGAAGAGAAAGAGCATTTCTTATATAACCTATAGTGTATATAAGCATTTCTTATATAAACTATACCTCTGGGTAACTGAATGGTAAATGATAGTATCTCTTTATAGAAGTATTCAAACTAATAAATGAAAAAAGAATACTATTAGAAAATCAGCACTTTGCAACCCCCAATGAATTAATGGATAATCAACAGCTGCTAACATCACAAATGTGCCTCCTAATAGAAAAACACAACACCTTCAAGCTTCTAGATCGAATTACCAAGACACAGGAAATACCGAGGACAAAGTAACATGTTAAACTACAATACAGTATACTATGCAGTTGTTAAAAAAAAAAATGAGAAGCTCTTTATGGGCTAATGTTGAATAATCCCCAGGATATATTATTAAGTGAAAAAGGCAAGGGGCAGAACACTATGTAATACTACCATTTGTGTAAAAAAAAAAAGGTTTACTCATGAAACTAAAATTATTGGGAGGGGCACT